TGTGGAGCAGTGGATAGAGTTCAGGATGTCTACCTGGAAAACTGTTGGTTCAGATACCTGGCAGGATACTCTGATACCCTTTAGCAAGATACTTTATGCAAATTGCTTCAGTAAATTAACCAGCTGTATAATTGCAACCAAATGTAAGTCACATTGGAGAACAGTGTGAAGCACATTAAATTGGACATACTTAAGCATGATTTACAATGTATGTACATGATTTACTGTGAATATATCATAAATACTTTATATAAGCTACACAGCTGTATAGTGTAGTAGAAAACCAAAAGATTTGCGAGACACTAGTGCACTATTCCAGTTGATGTTTTCTTTCCCATAAATCTTACACGTGTTGAACATGCTATGAAATTCATTTTTGGCCTGGGGCCTTCTTGTGTGGCTATTAAGGACTCAGTGTGTCTGTTGTTGTAACAAGCTGTTAAGTGTAAAGAAGGTTATTGAACTTTGATAGTTAACAAGAGAGTTAAGGAGATATTACAACTGTTGAAATGTATAGATTTAGGGCAGATTTTTTTCAGCATGGAATAAACCTATTACTTGTTCCTTTGCATATATTCATATTGTACTTTCATTTTAAATATTTAGGATTTCTGCATGTCAGTTTCAGGGATCAGCCTTCTTTTGTCCCTTCCCACATTTGACATAAATAAAAAGATCAGTTTGAATGTTTTTTTTTATAGATCTGCGTGTTGCAGATTACAAAAAGTCCAGTCATACATTCTTATTACTTTTTCTTCTGCACTCGGTGGCATGTATCCTACATGTGTCCTCATACAGCCAGTATTATTAGCAGGTATTAGCAATTCTGGAAGTGGTTAAGAATGAATGAGTGAGAGACTTAGTCATACATACGAGATTCCAATAAAGCCAGCCACACATCCTGTGTTACCTTACAGTTTGTTTATTGAGAAACTTTCTTTCTTGTTCAGACCTCAGCAAGAACAACACCCTTTTGTTAGTGCGGCCTAATACCTTATCTGCTGCACAATTGTGTTTTCCTAAATTAGCTGTTTTGTTTTCTTTTCTGATCATAAAGGAAAGACGGAACATTACCCATTGTGTAAAGAATGTTCTTTTTTGTTTTAGCTTGCTGTGAAAGAATTCCAGTGCTGATGAAGTTCTGAAGGCTTGTTTAAGTGCTACCGCAATGCTATCCCTACTCCATAGCAACTTTAAAAAGCTGGCTGCTTCGGGCTTGTGCTAATCGGATGACCTGTTTGTCACATTCAATGGTCACATTCAATGATGTTGCTCCAATAGCATTGATCACATTCAATGATATTGTTTCTTCTGTATGTGACCTTATACATCTGTCACATGCACTGCTTTAATACAATTTTGTAGTTCAAGTATCAGATGTAGGAAATTATTCCTTATATGCACTGTATTCTCACACCTCAAGCTTCCTAACAGGTGTAAAGTGTATCTGGAAAAGAGCAATGGTGCATATGCTATATACTGTAAAGTAATATTACACATGTCATGCTTTTTACTGTTTATTTCATGTCTGTAAGAAATATGTATAGTAGAGAGAGGGAACCTACTGTAGTCCATTAAAATTTCTCTTATCACAGTATTATAAACTTTGTTGATTGCCATCCGTCCTGGCTTTGTTGAGCTGGCAACCGGAGTATAGGCTCAGGCTGTAATTTCCTGAGGGCTGACATTTCAGACATTCCCAGTGAGTGGTCTGAGGGCATTAGGAAGCCTGAGCTGCACGATTCTACGCTAGGTCAGGGCAGCATCAGATAGCGTTTCTGCCATGGTTTTGTTGCAGTTCATAAAAGAAGCAGGAGGGTTTAAGATCAGCAGGTTCATTTCGGACACAGAGGAGGGCATATGAATTCCTGGGATTTACTGGGCTAACTGCATGTCTTAGATAACTGCAAACAGGCTAGCTGTCACATTAGGTAAGAAATACAGAGAAGAGGTAAAGAACAGAACTGCTGGCATGTTCTTGGATCAGTACTAACCAGACATTGCATGGTAGGTCTTTTTCTATTTCTAGTTGAAGAATATTTCACTTTCATTTGTATCTCAGAGGGTCTTTTAATTGAGTTTGTTTTCAGCAAGAACTTACACATAATAGATAAAATGTTGCCTCTTGTCTGAAAAAGAACAGCCTTATTTGGTGTGGAAAACCCCAACTTTTCAACAAATGCAAATTCCTTTTTCAAGCATTCCTGTGTTGCCAGAGAATGTTTTGCAATGCAGCATAAGTTCTGTCCTTCTCTGCCTAAAAAAAAGGATCCAGCTGCATCTGTTTATACTGCTATTTAAAAAAAAAACATTCCACAGTTGTTTCCAAGGTGAACCAAGGTGGTTAGGGATCCGAGCATATTGCCTAGGTAGTAGGTACTTAAAAGAAAACTTAGCTGCTTGGGTACCCAGTTCATCTAAATTGTATAAAGAGGGATTAGCTTCTTTGATTTTTTGTAATAGGTTGTGCGTGGTTGGGGAAAAAAGGAAATAGGTTTGTGAATAGCTCATCCTCAGTGGTACGGTACATGATTGTTGCATTAGGGTGATGAGCAAGTAAAAAAAAATGAAGACACTAAATAGATTCCAAATTATTTCAGGGATTATAGTATAGAGACAGTTTGTCTGGCTAAGGGAGGTGGGGCCTAGCAAAGGTGTAAGAAACAGCTTCTAATATTTCAGCCTAATATTCTCCAGGCAACTGTTGTAACATAGACTAGACACCATCAGGCCAGACAACCACATAAGATGCATTGTTAATTTCTGCTGTCCTCAGGGAAAACAGAAGTACTTCTTTCCGGCAATTCATCAACACTACTATCTAGAGGACATCTGAAGTACCAAAGGCATTCCTTTTCTTAGATTTGGGCTTTTAGTACTGACTCACACTATGCCTATACTTCTGCATTGGAGTGGATTCATGAACTGTATTTCTTTATATCACTTATTTGTTTTGACGTACGTTTTTCTCGAAAAAGAAGTGCTCCATTTTAATTTGTCTCCTGAATATCTCTTTTGTTTTAGGCAATGACTGATCTTCTAATATTTTTTTCTAGCTTTTAGCCTTTAATCAGTAGTTGACTCAATTTAAGATGTACAGTATGATTCAATCGGATTATCTCCAGTTAAAAGATTTCCCTGCTTATGAAAGCCATGATAGAGGGACTGGTTAGGGAAAACATATGACAGCTCATTTTTGGCATAGAAGGCACTGGAGTTCTGACGGCATGCTAGGATTTCATGCAACACTCTTCTAGGTAGTTATGGAATGTCCTGGGATGGATTACTACAGATGGCTCTGGAAATAACTGCACAGATAGCATTAGCAGTATACTGTAGGTAACAACAAGAAATCAATGCCGTGTTCAATAAATGGATTTGACAGATTTGTAAATGAATGCACAGAGGTTTTAAACCCACAAACGTGACTGTTGCCGAGGCTGGGGTTAGCGTTCCCTTAGAAAGAAGAAAATATGTTTTACTTGTTGAGTTAAATAGTAGTCTTCCCTTAAAGCACTTATGACCAAATCCAAGAGATTACTTATTGGCAACAACAAAAATAATGAAAAACAGCGCTGGTTAACATTATTTAAAAATAGTATGTCTAGAGAGGAACTTTAAATCTAAATATATTCAAATGCTGTGTTGTAACACATTGTTAATTTAATGCAGTGAAGCAACCAATGTTCTCATACAGTATATGTGGGAGGCAAATACAGTCACATAATTGGTTTATATATTTTAAGATACTATGTATATTGTGGCCAGTTTTCTTGTGGCTCCAAAAATAATATTGGACTATTTTATGTCACTTTTCATTTTGTGCTGCACTTAATAGGATTTACACTTCCAAGGACTTATGTATTCATGTAATTATCTCAATATCTACAGGAAAGTACAGAGCACCAGGTTTTAGTCCATGGGGTATCCGGTTACAGTTGTGATACATTAATAATGCAGTATAACTACATACAGTAGCATTCAACAGGGAGCTGGTTGTTATTTTGTGTTGTTATTCAAGTGCTGACACTCCCATTCTACAGGTTGTGTTTTTATAAAAATCCTACGTAAAGGTGTGTCATTTTAGGCTCTTTTAACAATGCATACAAAAATGTCTCAAAATCTGAACTCAAAATTAGTTCACATTGAATGCTAAAACATGTGCTCATCAATGCACTCCTAAAACTACAATGTGCTACCTGACCCCAAAACTTGACGTCTCGTAATAACAGCCCATTAGATGTAATGGATCGCCTTCTGGAATGGTATTAAAGTTTGATTATTTGACTTGCTTAGTGACAGCAGTTAGTGTTCTTTGAAGTTCACAAATGGAGAAGAGCTGTAGCCAGAGAAGTGTGGGTGCCGGGAGTTGTGACTTTCTAGACTAAATGAAACAATTGCTCTGCTAGCTTTTCATTTTAACATTGTAGGTTGTTATCTTTGATCCTTCATTTTAAAGAATCTAATACTTTGGCAGAGAGGCTGTTTACCATCACAGACTTGTTACAGGGCACAGACTACGATGCTTCTCTATTTCAGGAACAGCCTCCTGATTTGGATTAGAGTTTCCTTTAATGTTCCCTTCTTGATTTCCCACTCACTACATGCTCAGCATAGTTATAAATAAAGAAGTATAAAAATTATCTTGCTGCAAAGAAACCAATAAACAACTGTTTCTGTAGTTGAAAAGAATTATTATTCTGAATAAAGCGAGCAACATGCTTAATGTACATTGACCATCTGAGTTGAGGCAATAAAAAATAATACTGGAGCTGCCAGAGAAGCAGTTAAAAGGCAATATTTTTAAGTTTAATGTTTAAGGAAAAATACTCTTTATGAATTTAAACTTTTTTCCTTGTGTTAGATATTGCATTTAAGAACTGTAAATTTTCCACATTGTTTTAAACTATTATGTTTCTCCTGAAATGTTTACTGCAGCCTTCTATATCAATTGGACTTCCTGTTTGTTTTATTGAGGTCTCTCTTTGTTTTAATTGCAGACCTTTCCAGAAGTGCCAGTTTATCTGAAAAAGAGCTGAAAGAAGCAAGAGACAGGAGTCAGATCATAGCTGCCCAGCTGACAATACCAACCAACTCCAGCTCCAGGGGAGTGCAGCTTTTCAACAGGCGGAAGCAAAGGGTGAATGCCTTCACTCTGGTCAGCTTTGGAAAAGGAGTCCAGCAGCAGCCTGGGGGGAACAAGACACAAGGACCTCTCCATAATAACTCTGTAACATGGGAAGAAAAGTGCTCTGAAGGAACAACTGTAGAATCGAGCCCTTGCAGCAGTAGCTCAAAGACCAACTGGTGTCCCGGGGGAAGAAAATATACAGGGACTGAAACAATGGCGGAACAAATTGGCGGTATCCACGAGGTGGAAAATACAGATCACTTGGGCAAGCCAGAGATTCTCCCTGTGGATGGGATAGATGAACTGCCAGTGCAGCCTTTTTGTGAGAGTTCAAGCACAGAAATTAAAGATGAGCCTCCCAGTGATGTTTATAATATTAGTACAGACCAGCCAGCTAATGGGCTAGAGGTAACTGAGACAAATGGGACGTGCGCTGACATTTTGGTCAAACCTGCAAAAATTCAGAATGGATGTTCAAGCACTGCAGACGTAACCTTATGTCTAACTAAACAACCACCGGCTATCACCAACAGAACAGCAAAGCCATTTGGCTCACCAGCTATGGTACGGTCACCAGAGGCTAGAAGTCCAGTGATAGATCTTCTTCCACCAGCTCCAATTTCAGCTGCCCCTCTGCCTACCTTTTCAAATCCCCCCCCTGTGTCCCGAGTCATTTCACCATCTCCTCAGTACACATCAAACATCGGTGCAAGTCTGACTCCGGCGTTTGTGCCTCAGCACATCAAGCAGCCAGTGCCTGTCAAAACGGGGATTCTGGAAGAAGGCGCTGCTCGTCGGGCGACCAGAAAGTCAATGTTCACATTTCAGGAGAAGCCCAAACTGGCCCCCAATCCAGAGCTCCTGTCCCTGGTGCAAGGAGTGGACGAGAAGAAAAAGCAAAAGCAGCCATCCGAGCACACACAAGATGAGGAACTCTTGGCTCTCGGCGCTGAGGCTTCCAACTTCCAAACCAAAGCAGATTCAGAGGAAGTCAAAGTACCTGAATGGTCTACGTGCTTGAAGAGCTCGGGAGCAAGAGTTCGGTCTGAGCCCAAACCAGCTCAAGGCCTGATGAACGTGGCAGGGAAGGGAGCAGAGCTGTTTGCGAAGCGGCAGTCTAGAATGGAGAAGTACGTTGTAGAAGCCCCATCGATGGTAGAAAATTTTGGCAGATCCCCGTCCCCGACTATGTCCCTGCCACCTTCTTGGACATTTCCATCAAACATGCCAGGACGGGTTAAAGCCATGGCTAGCTCTTCCCATTACTGTCCGAACCCATCTAGGACTTCCAGATCTTTGGCTGCTGCTAGTTATGGAAACCAGGAAAGGTCAATGGTGGAAAATGGCTGCACCAAGAAAGAGATGGACATCATAAAGCACCAGCCCTATCAGTTAAACTCCTCTCTGTTCATCCTCAACCCAGCCAAAGACCCAATGAGTTCTTTACCCAAGGCAGCACCACCACCTAAGCCCATGGTTCTTGATAAGGCTTACACAAGACAAGCTTCTCTGCCGCTGTCTCCTCCTTCACCCTCTCCACTCTTCACCTGCCCAGCACCCTTTAGAGCAACCAAAGGCTTTTCTCCTCAGATACCACCTAGCCCAGTCAATGGAGTGGGAACCGTGGATTTCAGACCAAATCGGGAGCCAGAAGTTGTCCATATAGCCTCCCCGGTTTCTGCTTTATCTCCAGAACGGGTATCGTCACCAAAACCTGGTATCCACACACCAAGACCTACATTCTCTGCCAAGAGGGCAGGGATTGAACCACAGGTGTGGAGGCCTTCCTTTTTCTTTAATTAATCGACAAATATGAACGAGTGCTTGCACCGCACTGATCGTAAAATGTTTGGTATCATATTTTAAAATGAAAATCCATCCATCAGCATACTTTTTCGCTTTTTTTCTTTCTTGAGTGAGCCATCGTCATAAGCAATTAACCAATCCCCTGCACAATTTGTCTCTCCTTTTCTTGTAAAAAAGGGAAAAAAAGAAGAGAAGGAGTTAAAAAAGATGTTAAAATTGTAAATGAATGTCTGACATTTGTGTGCTGGGTGAAAGAAATACTGCTACTTGGATTTACATTTAGTATCCAAGTTAAGTATTATTAGGGAAATATTTTTTCAAAAGGCTGTGAACTTCTGCAGCTGTAGAAATAAATGGGAAGTCTGTTCAGCAAGCTTGGATGGAAAAGCAGAAATATAATTGACTGCCCTTCCCCTCTCATGCTTTGGTTAATACACAAAATTCAATATTTTTAATTCAATTTTGTTCTAGTAAACAGAGCCGATTAACATTATTCATTTGTTAATCAAAATTTGTATTTAAATACTAAGGGATCCTAAATAGTGACAAATAACAGTTCTTTGAAGTTAATAAGCATTAGTTATTTTCATATTATGCTAGTTAATAAATGCAGTGGCAAGTTATGTTCAACATATACAATTGTGAGTTGTTTACAAAAAATATTATTTTTGTTGATTAAATACGTATGTATAGACTTATGTGTTTTGAAACATTTTCCAGAGAGTTTGAAATGCTCCTAAACAACCTTTAGAATGTAGTGTCAATTTAAGTGTGAGTAATGCAGTCCAGATTTCTCAGAGATTTGTTTTCGGTTAGCTGCCTGTTGAAGGGTAATGGTAACTACTTGAACAGATGGCTTGGCTCCTTCGGTTTTTGATTTATGCTTTAAAATTTAATTTGTACACCCAAGGAATTGAGGGAACTCCCAGTTTCGTGTTTCACTTTGATTCTGCCTCAAAACAGAAATAGCTCAATCCAATTAAAATCCAAATGTGAAACACAGAAAAATAGTGCTATAAAAGCATATTTTGCCTGCATTTTTTCTTTCTTTTTTAACAAGTCCCCTCAAGGGTTCAATAGAAAGATGAAAACCCTTCTTAAATGTTCCTTTGTGCACTGGCATCAGTTGGTTTTATTGTCACTGTGTTCCTTGGAACTACATTTATTTACACACCAAACATGATAGAAAATCATGTTAATCATCTAAGTGCTATAGCTGTACATTATATTAGATCACTCTGATGAATAATCTAAAGAATTCCTAAAAAAGCTAGCAAAATAAAAAGAATTCAAAGGGTCTATGTAATAAAACTACACAATTTCGATGGAGTACATCAGTAAAGATGAAGTCATATTTTAGTTTCTGCCTTTTCAATTGTGTAACAAAAGCCTGTGAGTGATAAAATATTCATAGATTGCAAGCACTTTATTAGCAATATTACAGGTCAAGAACAAATTACCATTAACTGATACGATGTTATTTTTTAATAGCATGGTAGGAGTTCACTATATTTTTCAAATATTTGTGTTTATTTTCCAAATAGTTTCCAAATATTTTTATTATAAATGTTATGTTTTAATTTAATTAATTTTGACGATGTATGACTCCTTTGAAAACAAAGTTTTAAAATGAGCTTTTAAAGTTTTATAGCAAGTTCAAATGGCTATAAACTTTTTACAGCCTGTTTGTGTGGAACCTGGTCTTCAGTGAATTAGGAAGACCTAAACTAGCAGATCACAAAATAACATTGTGCTCTTTTTATGCTATAGATTGTTACATACAATCAGATTTATCATAAAATAGAAGTTACTGATCAGATTGACCTTAAATAGCTGATAATGTAACTACAAAATAATAGTAAAGTTCCTAATTAGAGTTGCCTGTATTTGTGTTATGATATGAACATAATAGTAAAATAGCAGTATTGTTAGTAGGATACTCTCAGACCTACAGTCTGAATTAAGTGTAAGGACTTAATTCTGTGTCTTTTGTTATAACATGAAAGGTAATTAGTACATAAAAGTGAAAGAAAAGTACAGGTACTTTATCTACTGTATATTTAAACATGATATAAGGTCACCTACACTTTGGTTGTGGGACTGTTTGCAAAACCCATCTTTGTTGGGAAAATTAATCTAAAATATATTGTAGTATTACTTAAGATGTATTATGCTTTTTCCTTTAACCGTTTTTTTTTTTGCTTTATTGTCTTAACTGCGTCTATCTGGCTCTGTCTTACCTTCTCCCTGTCTTTATTATATTTCACTCTTGAAACTGTTTGAAAACTCTTTTCTTTATTAAAGCTTAATCTTCATACTTCTCCTGACTATCTTTCTTTCCTCTCTCTCTTTAATGAACACTAATTGTCGTTTACAATATTGAATCTATTTATAATAGATTACAAATGTCATAATGTTTAAAACTCCAATAATCCAATAGCAATAGCAATAGCAAATCCAATAGCGTATCAAACATGAATGACAAGAGGTCACAAATCACTCTAGATGTATAGGATGTGGAATACCCCAAAAATGTTCTTATCATAATCAAGACACTGACAACGCAGGGAAGGTGTCATAACAAGTTGTATGGACTGCAGAATGATTTATTGTAGAAATTGTAATATCATATTTTACATTTAAGCTTTAACAACATAAATAAGACAGATTTAACTGGGATTCACATGATTGACTCTTTAGATTTAATTTCAGGAATGTAACATCTTCTATGTGTTTGGTATAGAACAGAAATCAGAATTTATTCATTATTGAAAAAGCTATAGATTTGTCAGTAAAAGCACTGTCCCTTTAAAGTAAACACATTACAGGTGTTTTAGCTACTTGTAAACTTCCAGGATTTTTCATCTTGTTGGTGCATTGTTTGCTTTTACTTACTGCTTTGTAAACTCTTTTGAAGCACAGCTTCAATAGTTGATAGTGTCTAGGTGGTGAGTTTTTTCCACTTTGAGATCATTCATAGTTTAATGTTTTCCACATTTTGCCTCTACCTATGATATTTCACCCCTGGGTGTAAGATAACTTTAAAAAGTTCCACCATGAATTATGACTTAACAACAACTAGCTGTGAAGTTTGTTTTAAGACATTAGTGTTGAGGGATGGATCTTGATCAGAAAGATACAGCATCTGTGGCAAACTGAGACGAATGGACACAAACACAGTGACCCACAAAAATGTCCCTTAATGTGTCTAGAAAGAGGTTGAATGGCTTTTGACACAGGAATGCAAACAAGCGATCTTGATTTTACTACCAGTATTCTTAAGTTCTAGATCCAATGTCAAGTCTGGAAGTCATTTTAAATAAAGGGCAGTAAAGGAAGAGGGAATGGAATGTGGGAAAGTTTATTTTCTCTTTTAAAATGGGAGATTTTGAAAGTCTTCATTTTTTTATTCTTTATTTTGAGCCTTATTTGGCTTCCCCAAATCTTTTTTTTATATTTTTTAAAAAATGTAAAATTACAAAAAAATCAAATGCTCGAGACGTCAAGATACACATAGAGTTTTTAAAAAACAAACACAAAAAGACAGCAAGTCATTATCCTAACCAAGGCAAAACTAAACATTGACTGAAATCAAGACTATCATTGCACATTCCATTACAGCTACTGGAATTTTCGATGGTCCCTGCTGTTTCCATTAACTACAGTTAATAGAATGTGGTCAGGCAGATGTGTTCAGTCAGATGGTGAACAGCAGCTTCCCTGCTGTAGGAATGCATATCTACAGTACTCCATGCTGAAGAGCTGATTGACAGTTCCGAGTGTGAAAAACAAATCATGGGAAAGGTTATGGACTTAATCTGAGCTTCATTACAGTAATTTGAGGAGGACATAAAAACCTGCTAATGGCTAATGTTCAGGAATTCATGTGTAATCACATACAGATAAAGGATAACATTTCTGCTGAAATACAAGCAGGAATGTAACATCTGGGAATCAAGTATTATGCATATAAGATATTTCTTAAAACTCTTTATTCAGACACATACTGTATAGCTCTTTAAGGTCTTGGCAGCCAAAGGTTACTACAGTATGTAGCTTGGCAAGGTAGAAGGTATGTCCTAAAAATAACTAGGAATAATTATTAGTATTTTGAAGTTAAGAACAAGAGACAAATGTGTAAATCTTAGCCCCTTGTATTTAACATTTTCTGCGGAAAGACACTTCCAATATATTTGTTTTCTATTATTCTGAGATTAAATTATCTTAACACTACACGATTTAAGTCCCTGCTGTTCTGTCTATTGATTATGAAGAGAAGAGTAATAAATAGTAAGGCACACAATTCAAAATGTTTGTTTAGTAGTAGTAATGGTGGTGAACATCCTTCACACAAAAAAGGGTCAAAAGGACCTCAGCTGACCTTTTGATTGAGAGATGCAGGCTTCCTTCCAATGTTTTCAGTTACAGTAAAAGGAGGATTTGGTCAGTCTTTACAAATTAGAAAAATAAAATTTGGTCAAAATAGTGGTTTGCTACCAATGATGCATATTTTCCCTCCATCATTTGTCAGCGTGAAGGAAAGATTTTGTAACATAATGTATAATCATTATGCTAAGCTCTCCACTTCCTGCAGGCTGACACAGCTAAAAAGACATTCCCTGCCCTCTTCACTAAACAGCATTATCCAGCTGTTGTGTTCAATCCAAACCTCTCTGCTTCTAAAAAACTTTTTGTGTTTACACAGCCTTGCTGTATCTTCTTCAGGCCTATAAGATTAAAGACTTTTATTTTTCCCGCTCTGAAAGCAAAACTTCTGATGATTCAATGACAGTGCATTTATGACTTTGTACTCGGTTTAGGGGATCTTCATTGTTCTGATATTTGTAGATTTAAGGGCTCTGAAATTCTGTGAAATCAGTGTGCTTGTGGTCGAAACATCACAACACAAGTAAAGAGGGCAAAGGTTTGGGGATTTTACATAGTCCCTAAAGGAATGCGCGCTATGTCAACATTTCAATCTGAAAAATACCTGCTATTGGAGAAAGTCTGTGGAGAGACCATGCCACTCTTATTGTCCCAGAACCTGTCTATGCTTATCACTAATTATTTAATGTCATTCTTTCTCAATGCAGACCCAAAAAGCACCTGTCCCTGTAGCAGCCACCTGGACGCCTACTCTGTCTGCACGGGTCAGCAGCCCAGAGTCTACAGTCAAGGCCCACCCAGCAACAGAAGTTCAGTTACCGTCCTCGCGTTCCCCTTACCCTTCCACAGGCTCCTCCCCCATCTCCCCGCCCTGGGAAGACAGATGCCAGTCCCCCATAGGGCAGGATATCAAGACCAACCGTCGACTGCTGGCCAAGAACATTATCAATGCTGCTAGAAGGAAAAACAGTCCATCTCCCGGAGGACTAAATGGGCGAGGGACTTCCATATCTCCTGTAGGTGGTTCCATTATACCCCACGGACATCAGCCATTGAGCCCCTCCACCATCCGATCCAGAGCTTTATCTAATCAGTCTCCATCTTTTAAGAGCCCCCCAGCAACTCCATCTAGAATGATCAGGTCACCAGTGCACTTGTATACTACTCGGTCGCTGACGGATTCTGACGCATCGGTAGAGTCTGAAGATTCAGGGCTGAGGTCTCCCAGCATCCGGAGCCACAACACCTGTCCAAGAGGTTGGGAGGGCAACTTCAGCATTAAAAGAGGAAGCATTCCAGCAGATCTATAAGGATACCAGAGCATGTCCCTGGGTAGGCCCCAGTATAAAGGTGTCACTTCGATGAAATGTTTGGCTAATACAAGAACCATTCCATCAAAGAAAGGGCAGAGACTGTTTCATTTTTTGGAAGCATCTCGTTTTCAGGCTTTTTTAAAAAAAAATGCAAATACTGTAAATTGCACAAACCAAAATTAAATTCATTCTTATTGGAATTGTTCCTCCTACCAAAGAAAACATTTTTTTACAAGTTCAAAAGTATTAACAAATTTGAGTATTTTATTATATTATTACTGTACATTATAAAATAGTTTCCATAAGTTTTCAATAAGCATTTATTTGTGCTCCTTTGAGTTTTTTCTCATTTTTTAACGTTCTACTTTTTACAAACACAGCAGCGTCTTGAGAAAAGGAACAGAATCCTAGCAAGCACATACTTCTGCGAGATATTTACAGCCTGATTCTGATCATCAGAGAGACTGTGAGGACATCAAAATGATTCTTCAAATCCAGAAGGATTTTTGAGGAGCAAACATTCCAGGCAGTACTGGTGACCCAGGACACTGCAGATATTCAGCTACCAGGTTCTGCTTCGTGGATGTCATGAATGCACTTTGATGAGAGAACATGAGTGAAGACTTTTCTATTTCCAAAAGACTTCAAAGGGGATTTAGTAGAAACAGAACAAAACTGCATTTACATTCCTTTGCGAGCAAGACTGATAATAGCATTTCAGACCAAAAAATACTGCTGTCTTCACACCTTTCAAGCTTTGAGGCTGCCTCATATTTAGACTTAGAAATATATACTAAAACATTTTCTACAACAACAATAGATATGCTAAAAAACTGGTTTTAAATCCTTGTAACAGTGCAATAATCCATATATCCCTTAAATTGTGTATGTTTTGTGTTTGCAACCAGAATGTCTTAAACCACCTTTGGCAATTGTATGTGAGATTGAGCAAGTGAAAGAGCTGTTGATTGGTAAAAATTCTTGTCCATGTGATGGTTAGCTGATGGTGAATTAGTGAAGTAGTTCTTACAAGCACTGCAGCTGAAACAGAGTCATATGTAAAGGAGGTTCTTCTTTATAAATCCAGGACACGGACACACATTTATAAAAATGCAAATCCATTTTCCTTAATTTGATTAAGATAGATTGATTTTTAATTTGTGCTGAAAATACACACCAAAGAGTATAAATAACTGAAAAAATACAGCTACTTTAGTGAAACCTTACTTTCTATGCTCTATAGTCAGCTCCACCATAAAGTATACCATAATATTAGTCATGTCAATAAGGCAGAGACAGGAAAAGTAAGAAGTGTGAAGCAGAAGTTTATTGAAGTGTAAATGGGGACAGACAGTTGTCGATAACCATGTTATTATAAGAAATAAGTTTGAGGAGAATACATATCTAAAGACATCCCTGAAAGTAGTGTATTACATATTCTCATTGTAAAAGGCCAATTAACACTAGGATGGAATGTCTGAAACACCTATTTTAACAATGTCAAAGTGTGTTTTACTTTCTTTGCCTAGCATTTTGACTTGTAATAACATGGTTAAACTGCTTTTTACTGAAAGGAGTCGAGTGCTTCCAGAGGGATATGTATTTGTTTGGAAAACAAAACTGGGACTTCACAGGTTATCACACACTGAATATTTATCACTATCATTATAACTATAAGTATTAATAACATTTTTTTCTCTTCACAAATTGTTCTAACGGCAGTTTTGCTTCATTCTTGACAAACAAGTCTACAAATACGTAGACAGTTTTGGGTCAAGAAACGCACTACAGCCTTTAATAAACATTATGTATCATACTTTGTTTTACATGGATTGATAGCATTTAGAAAAATATCGGTTCTTCAAACACCACGCAGAAAACTCTTATGAAATGGAGATGGTGTGACGTCCCAGTTCAGTACATCAGCAGATTTTTGCAACCTTTAAGGCCCAGTGATTATTTACAGACCTTCTGATTGATGAGCTACCAGCTGTGTGGTGACATTGCACCTCCAACAAGAATAACTTTTCATTGTCACAGTCTGGTTTAAAATCATAAGAGCTGTGCTTATTTAGCCCTGGACTTTATCAATAAAAAAAAAACATCTGACCTTGTATTTTTCCCTAGACTGTCAAACACATGGAATCTTCCATGATAAACTGATCTTGCAGTGCTCTTACTGTTTATTACAGTACCGATGACAACAAAAAACATATATAAAGGAATAATGCCACAAATAAATTATGGCTATTGTTATTTGTGTGTTCTTCCTTAAAAGTTTAACATAATAATTTTGTATACTTACAGTACATTTGACATTCAAAATGGAAATAACCTTGCTTGTATTTTTAGTCACTTCTAACAACTATTTCATTTAGAAGACAATAGAGAAAATGCCAATGTTTTGGAAAGTTTAAGTGTTTTCTTTTGTTGCTGCATAATGGGAATGTGTTACCAAATTTAGCAGTTAAAGTAAAAGAGTAAAGCAGTTTCATTAGGAGATCCAAGAAGCATGTCAGAAAAATGAACACAGTAAGGCTCCCTTTTTTCTTGAAATGCTCCATCATATTTGAAAGGACTGCCAAGATGTGGTTGGGGTGTTGTCTCTGGACATCGTATGAAAGTTAAGTCTCGTTTCCCTGGCATGCAGTGAGCTTCTCATTTTACACATGCTAATGGGAACACTAAAAAACTTCTTAGTTTAGACAACCAAACATCCATAATGTTTTTAAAACCTTGCAGGAGTGTTTATTGGGCAGTGCTATTCCAATCAGAAATCACCGGGTAAATGTTAATGGTAAAATAGCAGGAATCCCAGGTTCCAAAGTCTGATGGGATCAACTGGAACAGCAGGAATCATTTAAGTGGGTAGCAGTGTAATCTGGTGTGCGTTATGTACTGTAATAGTCTATATAGAAAGTGGTGTCCTTTAACTTCTCTGCATACATTGTGTCACGATCTTAATCCCTCCTCTTAAGGGCGCTCCGGCTCTTTCTTATTTTGCTAATTACGTGCACCTGCCCCCAGTCCTGCCCCCTCCATATTTAAGCCTGGAGCTCTCGCTACTCTGGGCTCTGCACTGGAAGACAGACACCCGCCGACCATCAATCATCCTGACCCTGCTGAGTCCGGGGCTCGGAGCTCACCACCCCGTTTTTAATCCCTGTCCCTGTACCGGATCCCATTCCGGCTTTTAACTCTGTTTTGTCCTGTCTCGATTGGATTATCCGGTTTTGGACTTGTTCACCCTGGCTACGCCCCCCCGAGCACCAGTTCACCTTCGTCACGCCCCCCCGTCTGTCAACCCCTCCTGTTCCACATTGTCTCCTCCCCGTCATCCCTCTCCACTTACTTCTGGATTATACCGTCTGCATAGGGTCCAGAACTACGCTTCACGGGAGCCTGGACCGACTCCTGTTACACATTGTTGCACACATGGCATTTTTATGCACAATTGAATATATAATGCATAGATATTGTATTTCCTTTCCTTCCCCTCAAGCAATTAAATGTGGTTGATCTTCCTAGAACTCTAGAGCAGAAGGGCACTTTCATAATTGGTGATCGAAATAATACACAAATTTCTAAATCAATTCTTACTAATGGTCTATGTAATTTTAAATTTAAATTGCAGTATACTGTTTTCACTATTCTGTCCTTTTTCCTATTGTTTCCCCATGATGTCTAGATCCGGACAACTACTACAGCACTTTCCCCAAGGATTCCCCTTTTAATGAAGCCAAAAGGGTTTGAACTGTGTTGTATTCTAATCTGGAAACTATGCTCTGCCTATCAAATGGCATTTCCATACCAAATAACCCAACATAAATCCAAATTCCTTAAGATTCTTGTGGCCTGTAAGATGTATTCCTCTTAGTACCTCGTCTTCCAACAGAAGATGCTTAAAATACAACAACTCTTATGTTTTCTGCTTTACAAATCCCTCTTCACTCATAATACATTTCTTTATTCTTTGAATGCGCCCCATTTTAAGTGTAAATATGCAACAGAATTAGAATAAGTTGTTTCACCCTATTCTAGTGTTTTTCCAATAGGTAAACTTTAAGGATTGTTGTTAAGACATTTGGTTTGTTTTACTTTAGAAAGAAACCACTCCGTTTTAAAATGGAACTAATCGTTAGTGGCATGTATTTATTTTTTTACGATTTTCCGAGGGATCCCTAGACGGTATTGGCTCACTCTCCTCACTAAATGGATATCATGCCAAGGACCGAAAATATTTTGCCAACTCCTTCCATATATATATATAAAGTGTTATATTTAGTAACATTTGTGGATATAACGTTTCCCGTGTTAGTGTTCTTTTTGTCTCAACAAAAAGATGGCGCTCAATGATGGTGTTTGCGTGAAAAAATACTGCACTTATTAAAAATCACCAAATAAATTATTTTTGAACACTTTCACCGCCATTTAGCAATGTTCATCCACGAGATTGTAAAATATTTAGAGTCCTTCTAATCGAATTTTTTTGCTTGGAATTTTGTATCACGCACTTCAATCCCAGTATTTATCTATCTCCCACTATATTAAGTACAACGTCTACAAATCAAGCTGTTATTTTAATACAGGGCAGTTTTATTAAACGACAACTGGGTTTAATTACCGTTAATGTGCACTGCGGTCGTAATTTGTTTTACTGGCATAAGAGGTTAAAACGAGGTCCTGTGTACTGCGTCATGAACGTCCCCACCCATATCGCCACTTACTGTATATGAGCAGGGGTGTAACACCGATTCCTGGCTAAAGTTCTCTCTGGGTTTACGGTCTTGATTTCCTCAAGTCCCCCATTAATTCAGCTGGCGAGTTTCCAACATTTGTAACTGATCCGGTTGTGTACTGCGGCATAATGGCTCCTGCACACCAATCAGGTGAGTACTGCAACTCAGTGGAGGATGAGGTAGGTCCTCTCTGCTCTGTAAATCAGTAGGAATGAAGTCCTCTGTGAATGCGATTATTAATAATTAAACACTGCTAACCGGTGATTCATTTGGGGAATTTTTGCTTCATATAGGGGATTTTCCGTTACTAACCAATTAATCTTTTATCCCAAATTTAAAAAACGTGTAGATATACTGTACTGTACATAAAATTAAACATAACTTTATCTGCATATATTTGTAGAAAAAAAGTGCATTCTGGATATTAATTACAGGTTTTGGGTATTTAATTAATTGATCACACTTGAGTGACTTTGTTGCGTGTCCACTAAAGCACCTCATGATTTAGTCGAACTGAGAAACGGGACAGTTGTGGGGGCACAGGCGATGGGATGATTTTAACTTGTTGAATGTCATTCTTGGTGAAAATTAAGAAAGGAAAAACAAAAAAACAGAACCACCATACCTCCCTTGTCAAGGAAACGGCACCTTTTTGCCATCAGTATGTTGGAGGCTTGACTGTATCAGTGTACTGCCTCTTCATGTCTGTGTTGTTAACAGTCCACAATTTCTAACCTGGCAAATGTTCCAGCCAGATACAGTCTGTCAACGGCAGGCTATAATCTGGAAGAATGAGATTTATGATGAGATCAACACATCATCATCCAAGTGTGATGATCTGGACAGAAGTGTTAAGTCACTACTGAACACCTCTTGTAGTGATTGATGGCAATCTGCCTGAATGTCTCTACATTGATTAAGTCTTGGGATTTCACACACACTGCCCTTCCTGTGGGCACGACAATGCCCACAGGAAGCCCACTGTATGTCCCCATGCTGTAATGGTGGCTTTCTTGTGAGATGAGTAGGTGACAGGTACACCATTGCTGTCATATGTTCCAGTCATGGGGAAATAGATCCCTGTTGATCAACGTTTTGGAAGACAAATGTTAATCAGCATGACTTAACTATGTCATGTGTGTTCAATGTCAATTATACATAAATATGTGGTCACTGTTCTGGACAGTAAGTTAAATTAAAAAGGCAAAGGTTTTTTTCTTAAGGGAAATGGCGTCTATTTTTCTTAAGAAAGCTTAAACATTTTAAGGTTGGTTTAAGCTTTTTATCATGTTTTTGCAGTCTTTTATTGAACCTGCTTTAAACACAGTATATTTGCATGTACGAAAAAGAGCTCTCAAGGCAACTGGGCGGTTAATTTTGAAATGCATTTCAGAATATTTAATTTGCTTGTATGAAAATGAGCAGGAATGTACATGAAGAAAAGTTAATAATTGCACATTTAATAAACTTTTAGAACACTTTTGCAGAAATCTTGAATTGGCTTTGAACTTGTTTTTGAATGAGATGAGATTGATTATTTCTTGTGTAGGATTATTAGGGTTAGAAACACCAGAATACCTTGACTTCAGCTAACATCACTGTTGCATTACTCAAGTCAAAATTAAAACTGGGTGATGTGAATTGCAAGCTTAGCATGAAAGATTTGTGGAAGCCACATCTTTATTCCTAATGCAATCTCCAAACCCTAAGAAAGGCTGCAAAAATATTTGGAGCTAAATCCTAAACACCAATTTTCCTATATTTTAAATTGCATTAAAAAAGGCAGCAACATTAATAGATGTCTACTCTGAAGGCGAATTAACCTTAACTCTAGATCCCCTCTCAAGTTACCATTAGGGAACTATGGTTAATTTTAAAATACTTTTTGAAATACTTATACGAGCATCTGTGAAAAAAAGAGCAAGAAAAAAACATAAAGAAAAGTGAATAATTGCACATTTCAAAAACGTGTAGAGCACTTTTTAAACACTTTTGCAGAAATCTCGTATCGGGTTTGAAATAGTTTTTGTGAATGAGTTTAAAGTCAATGCCCATGACTATTCCCTGGGTAGGGATGATTAGAAATACAATAATACTTTGATTTCATCTAACATTTTAGTTGCTTTTTTCATGTCAACATTTAGACTAGGTGATATGACTTGTAGGTGTAGCATGAGAGATTTGTGTGGTTGCACAACATTGGTTAGGTCACACCTGTACTCCTAATGCAAACTCCAACCCCTAAGGAAGGCTGCAAAAAGTATTTGGAGCTCAATCCAAAAGTCCAAAATTCCAAAAATCCCATTACAAACACAGCAGCAACATTAATAGCAGTCTACTATTAAAGGGAATCCTAACCCTAGCTCCAATCTTAAATTAACTCTTCGGTTAATTTTTAAATGCATTTCATTATACAGTACTTATACAGTTCCCAGATTTGATTGTTTGGGAATCTGAATCTGAGGAGTAAGAACAAGCTGCTGAATATTGTCATACCATGTCACACAGTCTCTGATGATTGATCTTTCGGCCCCATCCCACATCTATCGTTTACAAATTTAGAGTTAAAACATATTCTATGTTCTTACACAGCGCCTGTCGGCCGTAAGCGTTACACTCTCCCCTGCTTAAATCGCCATCCCCGGCGAAGGGCTATCCCACCCCGCTTCTGACACCAATGTAACGCAATGGGGGCTCAGGCGGGTGCCCTTGCCGCATTAGGTCGGCCCCCCGAACCCGGGACTCCCGCGTCTCTCTGCAGGGACCCAGCCCGGTGAGCCAAAGAGAGATCTCTCACTACAGCCCAGTAGCTGTAGTCCTGCTATCACAGGGAAGGGCGGTGACATCACCTGCTCTGGTACGCCGGCTCTTACACAGTGCCTGTCGGCCGTAAGCGTTACAGTATGTTTTCTCTTTACTGTCTACTGCTGTAATACAAATTGCTTCCAGAGGTTAGTAAAGACTCTCTGTTAATTGATGTGAATAGATGCTATCATACCTGAATATTGAATAGCCATGACTCACTAGATTTCTTCAAGGTGAAACTGGATCCTGGGCACCCTGACCCAATACTGCTAATAGGTTCTACTAAGGATATTGTAATTATTCCTCAGCAATCAAAGGTGCTCATTGGTCTTCTCTGAGACATTAAGATTTCTTTTAACATGAGAAAACAATATTTCCTAATAAGAAGCAGAAGGTATTATTAAAAAGGTCTGCCACTAAACCATGAATTCACATGTTTTAATGTGCCCTAAGATAACTCTAACCATACTTAATAAATTGCAAACCCTGATTAATACCAGACTGAACAATAGTAGAAAACAGTTTTGCCATTTTATGTTCAGAACACTTGCACATCTTTTTTGGAAACTAAGACATTGTTTTTGTTAGCTTTATATGGAGAAATATGATCCTTGTTCTATGTGGTCTCTGTTCTAAAAGCTCATGTAAACTTGTGGCTGTTGATGCAAATGGCAGAAGTAAAAGAAATGTTGTAATTCCAGCATTCACAGAAAAACAGCACTGATTAAAACTATAAAACTTGAATGTGCTAATGTTTGAAGCAGAAAATCTGTGACTGAATAGTCTAATAATGACTTCTGTATACATTTCATGCTTTTTTTAAATGTCGTGACATAGGAAGAAAACTATTGCAATTGACCTTTGTAAATAGCATCCTCTAGTGGTGATGAATGCTACTTTTAAATCAAATGACAACTGGTCAATAGCCCCCTCTTGTGATAATGCAAGGAAAGGTCTTTGAATATTTTCATGTTTGTAGATTTCTGTGCAGCCTTCCGTTCAAGAATAATTTAAAGATGAAGCAGAACAGACTTGTGTATAAAGGCTTGTACATATTTCTTCTGTTAGTATTAGTGCTTTGTTTGAACCAATACCACAATACCACTAATTTTAATAAATAATATTAATACCATTTTAAGGCTTAGTAGGGGATTAAGGTTATTAGGAGGAGATCAGACAACTGACATCAATGCCTAGATGTTAATGGAGTTTCATCTGTACTGCTACACCTGGGCTGAAATCTGGTAAGTCACACTACTCAAAAAACAAACAAACTTGTGACTCATAAGATAAACTTCAATAAATCCCTGTAGTTAAATCCCCACACATGAATTGGTTTTCAAAATCTTAATAAGTGTTTTGGGCTGCAAATGACTGCTGTGCACGAGAGACTGGGCAGTGTTAAGAATTGCAGATTGCAACTTCTGAGCTAGAAGCGTTGCAACATTGTATAGACCTCCATACCGTGCATTTGTATAATTGTATCAGTTCATTTAGATCATCTAATATATTACAATCCTAATACTGTAAGTTTTCAGCACTTGTCAATATGCAAAGGCGCATTTACATACACTCCATTCCAAAGTGAAAAAACTTGTAACCCACAAACTAAATAACTCCTGAATTTGCAAATCATATATATATATATGAGAGGGATCAAAAGTGGTATTTAATTCAATGTTAAAAACAAAACAAAGAGCTTTATGAAGACGCATAATAACCACACATTTGTCAAATCATTTTATTCAATATGAAAAAGAAGCATATCTGTAAGACAATATACAGTGTAACAGACCATGTCCTACAATCAATGTCCTTTCTTTTCCTCAGAACTAGTAGTTCAATGAAATTGGTTCAGGAATTCAACTTGTAAACAATTCAACATCTTAAAACGTTTACTATCAGAAAAAATAAAAGGAAAAGTGTTTGCTGTTTTTTTAACTTGAACAACTACTTGACATTTATATATAAAGGACCTAGTAATACTGCATCACAAATTGTTTGGTAACATACAGTATCTTAAAAATGAATGGATTCCCTCGATGGTCACTGGGAACTCAAGCCCACACATAAGATTATCAACATTGAGTGGTAAAAAACAGGAAAAAAAACATTTTAAATACAGAAACATACAGTAGGTCCAAAGAATGGATGGGCAATGTAATTGTTTTTATTAGTAACATTAAATTGTAAAACCTAGGATCCACAAAGAAGGCATAATCCCTGGGGAATCGTGTGCCTTTTTGATTACAAGAGTATAGATCCTGCCCCCTCTGTTATAAAAGTAAGGGACATACATTCTATATAGTAAAAAAAAGTTATACTGTGACTAACGTTCTACTCATGCATTGAGTAAATAAAGGCAGCAGGTCAGGTCTATTAGGCAAAGACAAAACCATCTGTGTTTATTTCTAGGGATACTGAAATTGAATCCATTAAAATCAAGGTGACAAGAAAACTATAATCTAATGGCAAGATCAATGTTACAGTACACAAAACAAAAATAATTAGAAGTACTGGCCTTGACCTACATTTATAAATATGTTCCAACATTTCTCTGTGAGAACAGCATTAAATATATGGTTAATTCTGTTTCGTCATATTGAGTATGGTATAGAACTACAGCCAAAACATTAATCAGCCAAGCATCATACCAGCAAGACTATGACCTGAGAATCAAAATGTGCTTGCCTCTTTACAGAAAGCCAAACACGTGGTAAGGGGACTGCTTAGAAAACACCAATAAATGAATGAAAGAGATTAGGAAATTAAATTAATTTAAAACTAACAAAGAAGCACAGCTGTATTTTAGATACTGATGTGTGATGGGCTTGGTGTGGTTCACATTTTTAAATGCTCATGCTGTTTTTAACTTATGTGGGTAAAAATAGTATTATTTCCAAAATGATCCCACAATCTCTAATTATATATTGGGAGATGATTTTTTCTGTGACTTAAGGCTTGGTTAACAGTATTTTAAACTGGCAATAAGAAGTCAGAATTTTCAGAATGTGTTGTCTTCATGTCCTCTATGCTAACTACACAAAGGAAAATTAATAGGAATTTTAATAGGAAAATTAAAAAAAGATGCTTGTAAAATGGTAATTTAGATGTACACATTCTGTGATATGCAAAGCAACAAGAGAAAGTCCTATCTGATGTGATTTAGTCCTCGTTTTCAGACTTTTTTTAAACTGAGGTAGAGTTTGAGGTTTCTATGAGTAGGCAGTTTGGCAGCTTGTGAGCACACCAAATAATTTTTTGTGTGTGTGGGATTTGTCTTTAGAATTGGTCCTGTTAATGAATTAAAAATCACTAAAATGTTATGATTTATCTTTGGGGG